GCAAACTTCGCCTCCCCGGTTCACACAGTTCTCTGCCTCAGCCTCCCGAGTAGCTGGGATTACAGGCAGCTGCCACCAGGCCCTGCTAATTCTTTGTATTTTTAGTAGAGATGGGGTTTCACCATCTTGGCCAGGCTGGTCTTGAACTCCTGACCTCGTGCGTGATCCACCGCCTCAGCCTCCCAAAGTGCTGGGATTACAGGTGTGAGCCACCATGCCCAGCCAAGACATTGTATATTTTGACTGAAAGCATCTTACTCAGAAACTCCAATACCATTTGCAGACAGTTCTAACCAGAGAAAAGCAAAACCCTAAAACAGTTCTAAAAGGATTCTTTAAGATCTGCTACCTAAGATCCTTGCAGAACTTGCCACAGCAATACAGAGAACTTCTAAGCTTATTTGTAATAAAAAGTGACAGGAACAGCTAACCGTTCATTGCACATTTACTGTGTGCCAGGCACTCATCTGTTTTGTGTGGTTTGACTCATTTAATTCAACCAATTAACTTTTAGAGAAGGAGCAGTTCAAGAAGGCGTTCAGTGACATAGCTGTATGACCCTAGGTCTTCAATTTCCCTTCTGTACAGTGGGGATAATACCCACCTAATCATTACTGTGAGAATTAAACCAAATAAATGTAGGTATAGCACTTTCACCCAAGGTTTTCCAATGTCATTTCACAGGCATAAAGAATCGAATAACACATTTGAAAAGCAGGTACTGTATTAATGAAAACATGAACAAACCAGGAAAGGGAAAGTTTTGAGATTCTTTTTGGCCTGTTTCAATCTGCCCTTCAATATGTCTATCCTGGCAGAGGTGACCTTGGACTGGAGTTTGATCTGCTGGCCCCATAGCCAGTCTCTGCTAAGCCCTGTGACCACCACATCAAAGGGACGACCGAGACACCCGTGAAGTCAGAGGAACCCCAATCCTGCACACACTTCAAAGGGGCTCCTCTTCCGGAAGCTGTTACAGCATACCTTTCAAGGAGGGTAAACAACAAAACAGCTGGCCTCCACGTTGGGAGGGGGAGCTCTGGGGCGGGGGGCAAACCACACACCCAAGAATGAAAATGTCGCTCTGCCCAGAGCAAGTCAGCCCTGCTGCCTTCCTATTTCACCCTTCCACTAACAAGCACCAGAAAGCGCCTCTCCCAGGGAGTGTCCTCAATCAGCGTCGGGCCCTGAGCAGGTGGCACCCCTCTCTGCCCTCTGTCAAGACCACACCACGGCTATTTTGATTCCTGGGCTTCCGCCCTTTAGTTTACACATTTGATGATTCTGTTTGACAATCGCAACCTGAAATACTCCGCTTCTGGGCTGGAGGCGGGATGGGGGGACGGAAGGAGGGCCCTCAAACGAGATCCGCTTTCTCCTGCACAGGTGTCAGCAGGCCGAGCTTTGACCTCCGGTTCCCCGGCCTCTGGGCGCGGGCCCTGGGCGGATCTGGCAGTGGACGCCCAGTTTTCAGTAAGAGAGGGACAGAGGGACAGAGCCAGGCTGACACCGGCTGGGGAGTTTCCCCGCGCTCTGCAATCGCCTAGGGAGGCGGCAGAGACGACAGACCCATCTGTGGGCCCTCAGGTCCCTCCGTGGTTCCCGCTGACGCGCACGTCCCCTGCCACCCCCAGGTCTCTGCGCACCCCCACCCCTGGGCGTTCGCACTGCCCCCCGGCGCGTTCTCGCCGCCTCCAGGCCCTGAGCACCAACCCCTCCACCGCGCGCATCCCCCGACCCCCGCGCGTCCGCACCTACGCGGCGCCCCGCGCCCCCACAACCCACACCGCGCCGGCCGGGCGGGGCCGGACGCGCAGACGTGCAGCACGTGCGCCGCGCGGCGATTGGCAGCGCCGCCCCCACCCCACCCCGCCCAGTCGGGGAAAGGGCGTCCCGAGCGCGGCCGCGGCTGCGGGGCGCGCGGGCAGGGGGTCGCCGCCTAGAGCGGCCCGGGAACAATGACAGACCTATAGGGAAGGGTGGCGTCTTCCCGAGAGCTCCGGTTCTCTGGCTTGGAGCTGGGGGGCGTGGGGGGCGTAGCGCTGGTCCTGAGGAGTGGAAGCATTTTCAGTGAGTGGTGCGCACGTGTTTCCACTTTATTCAGTTGTCAACTGGGGCCCAGTGCACTTAAACCCCAGCGTTCTATGGGACTGAGCCAAGAGGCCACTGCACCCTGCAACCTGCGGGGCGGGGGGAGGAGTGAGGAAGGGGACTGAGCGACAAAAGTGACAGAAGCGAGCTCGCGTGCGTGGCCCGGGGAGTGACGCTCAGCTCTGCGTGGGGGACCAGAAAGATGTACATTGCGGGACTGGGCGATGAAGGGACCGATCTGAGCGGAGGCTACTGTTGCGGGCGGGCAGGACCCGCAGGCGCGCGGCCAGGACTAGCAGGGAGCGCGCAGGGAGCAGTGGGGTTCCCCGGGCCGCTTCGAGGGCGTGCTCAGCAAAGGGCACGCAGCCCTAAGTGACTCTCAGCTGTGAACCTCGGCTGAGGCTGCCTCTCATCCCAGCAGCAGCCAGCCAATGAAAAATAGGCTCAGGGGCTCCCGAGCCAATGGGAGACCGCGAGCGGTGAGGACTTGACATTAGAAACGTTCCTGGTGTCCCGGCCTGGAGACTAATCTGTGTGTGTGTTGGTGGGGAGGGGGGCGTCTTCCCAGAAGCCCAGGACAAGTGTGTACCCAGAGGGATTAGAGCGCCTGCTGTTTGTAAGGCCCCTGCCTTGGCAGTTGGAGGGGGAGGAAGGGCAGGAAGAGGGCAGGGGTGAGGAATCTAGGAGCTGGTGAAGTGTTCTGGGTCCTGCTGTTCTGGGTCCTGCGTCACTTTCCCTTCTGTAAACGGTAGTCTTGCCTTTGTGTCGAGCTTGATCGTTTCTAAATTGCTTTCCCATGCGTTGCTTTACCATCACTGTAACCCACAAGATAGGTTTGATTACTCATTTTACCAGCAGGGGAAGTGAGGCTCAGGTAAGTTGAATCCTGTGCACACAGTGGCACAGCTGCTTAGTACAGGTTTGGGACAGGAACTCAGGTACCCCGACTACAAATCCAGGGCTCTTTAAATACATCAAAGGAAGGAAGCCAGGCCTGTTTTATGATCCTGGTGTCAAGGGCACACCCAGTGATTAAAATGAAATCCAGAAGGACTGGGTTTTATTCCGCCCCCCCCCCCCCGTCCCCCGTCATCCTCTTTCAGGTTGCCCCTTTGCCACACAGGTTTGCTCTGCTCTTAGACACCATGCGTTAAGAAGAGAGCCCACTAACTGCCAGAAAAGCCAGAAGTAAAAACAGAATGCGCGTGGGGGCAGATGGATTACCCACTGTGCATTTCCTCTTTACCCACACCCTCAGGCCAACTGGATACCCATGGTCCTCTCACATGTTAGTCCCCCACCTGCAGATGCTGCTTCCTGTTCCATGGACTGGGCTTGGCCCGCCTAAAATAGGCTGCACCCAAGACTATCCCTTTAAGCCTCTACCCCCACCACTGCCATTATCCCGAACCTGAGGAAATAAATACCCCCTCCCCTCCCACAAGGCTACAAAATTTTGTTTGTTTATTTATTTATTTTGAGTCTGTTCTGTTGCCCAGGCTGGAGTGGTGCAATATTGGCTCACTGCAACCTCCTTCTCCTGGGTTCAAGTGATTCTCCTGCCTCAGCCTCCCAAGTAGCTGGGACTACAGGCGCAGGCCACCACACCAGGCTAATTTTTGTATGTTTAGCAGAAACAGGGTTTCACCTTGTTTACCAGGATGGTCTCGAACTCCTGACTCAGGTGACTCTCCTGCTTCAGCCTCCCAAAGTGCTGGGCTTAGAGGCATGAGCCACTGAGCCTGGCCAAGGCTACATTTTTAAAAGGAGTGTTGCTTCTAGATGATTTGTCAGTAGGGGTCCTGGTGTCTCTGCCATGGTCCCTGATGAAGCTTCGGGGTCTTTTTGGCAAAGCAGATGATGCTCAGTGATTCCCAAGGCCGAATGCCCATTACAGTCATTTGTCAAGCCTTTTAAAAATACCCACCACCGAGTGCATCTCTGGATTGGGATTCAGGAGGTGCGGGGCACGTGTTATGTTTTTTTTGTTTTAAATACTCAAGTGATTTAGATGACCAGTCAGGTTGAGATGGATGAAAAATGACTTCCATCCGAAAAGTCTGAAATAACTCAAAGCTGACATTGGAGGCTTTTTGGTCAGATGGAAACCAGTCATTCAGAGGTCCATCATGCCTAAGAATGTGAAGAACGACAATTCTATTCATAAGGGGACCCAAAAGGGAACTAAAACCCTTGGTGGTAGGAATATTCTATGTTGAGTAATCTAGGGCCTTAGGGGAATAAAGCCTTAGGGAACTGATACTGGGTGTGAACTGACTTTATTTTCACTACAATAAAACTAAAAATCGGCACTCAAAAAATCGGTGGCTTACATCCTACACAACTTGTATTCCTATCAATGGATGCTCTTTGCTTCGTTTTCATTTATCAGGCCTTGCTTTCTACACCTGCACTGTCCAGTACATTAGCCACTAGCCACATGGGGCTATTGAGTACTTGAAGTGTGGCCAGTCCAAATTGAGATGTGTTAAACAAACATTGGACTTCAAAGACTCAGAAAAAAATGTAATCATTTCAACATATAAATGTAATACTTTTAACATATGATTAAAATAATATTTTAGAACTGTTGGGCTAAGTCAAATGCATTATTACAATTAATTTCAGCTCTTTCTCTCTCCCTTCCTTCCTTCCTTCCCTTCCCTCCTTCCTCCCTTTCCCTTTCCCTTTCCCTTTCCCTTTCCCTTTCCCTTTCCCTTTTCTTTTCTTTCTTCTTTTTCTTTCTTTAGTTCCACTGTCTCCCAGGCTGGAATACAGTGGCACAATCATAGCTCACTGCAGCCAGGAACTCCTGGGCTCCAGTGATCTTCCTGCCTCAGGCTCCTAAGCAGCTAGGACTACAGGCACACCCCACCATGCCGTCTTTTTTTTTTTTTTTTTTAATTCAGCCCCCGTAGAGACTGCCAAAAATTGCCAATGCCGACCGTATTTCAAGTCATCGTGGCAGGGTATTGGGAAAAGTTTTCAATTAGTAATAATCATGCCTTGGATAAATCTTATTGGCTGTGATACTGCCACTTTCTTTTTCTTTTCTTTTTTTTTTTTTTTTTGAGATGGAGTTTCCCTCTGTCACCCAGGCTGGAGTGCAAACACCACACCTGGCTAATTTTTTTGTATTTTTAGTAGAGATGGGGTTTCACCACGTTGGTCAGCCTGGTCTCGAACTCCTGACCTCGTGATCTGCTCGCCGCAGCCTCTCAAAGTGCTGGGATTATAGGCATAAGCCACCGTACCTGGCTATATATTTTTTAGAGGTGGGGGTCTCATTGTGTTGCCCAAGGTGGCCACAAACTCCTGACCTCAAGCAGTCCTCCCACCTCAGCCTCCTTAATAGCTGGGACTACAGGCATGAGCCACCACACACCAGCTTTTAACTTTTATTGTTTTAATGTGCCTAGTAGAACATTTTCAATTACATATTTGGTTTGTGGAGGCTGGGAACATTCTTGATCTGGATAATGGAGTGTGTGTGTGTGGGGGGGGGTGTTGAAATTCATCAAACTGTATGCTTAAGCTTTCTGTACTTTACTGCTGTATGTAAATAAAAGTCAGTTTAAAAATTAAACAATACAAGCTGGGTGCGGTGGCTCACGCCTGTAATCCCAGCACTTTGGGAAGCCAAGGTGGGTGGAACATTTGAGGTCAGGATTTCAAGACCAGCCTGGCCAACATGGTGAAACCCTGTCTCTACCAAAAATATAAAATTAGCTGGGTGTGGTGGCACTTACCTGTAATCCCAACTACTGAGGGGGCTGAGGCAGGAGAATTGCTTGAACCTAGGAGGTGAAGGTTGCCGTGAGCCGAGAATGCACCATTGCAACTCCAGCCTGGACAAAAAGACAACTCCTCCGTCTCAAAAAAAAAAAAAAAAAAAAAAAAACCAAGAAACTCCAGGGGTATAAACATGGAATGGAATTTACTGGCTTGGGAACTAAAAAGTCCAAAAGAAAATCAGGCTCTAGCCAGGGTATGGTTGGGACCTGGTCCTTTTCTCTGTGATTCTCTGGGCATTCCCTCCATGGGTCACTGAATCCTCAGGCCCATGAGCAAAATGGCTGCAGGAACCCCTGGCCTCACATGCACATCCCACCCCATCGAGAAAGAGAGCTTCTTGCTCCCAAACGCTCAAAGAAAAATACTAGATTTCACCTAACCAATCATTTAGCCCAGGGGAATCTCACATGCTCACTGGTGCATCCCTGAAATGTGCTAGTGAGCAGCACACAGTCGCTGCTAAAAGAACCCTGATTAGGCTGGGCGAGGTAGCTCACACCTGTAATCCCAGCACTTTGGGAGGTCGAGGTGGGGGGATCACGAGATCAGGAGTTTGAGACCAGCCTGACCAATGTGGTGAAACCCCATCTCTATTAAATATAAAAAAATTAGCCAGGCGTGGTGGTGTGTGCCTGTAATCCCAACTACTCAGGAAGCTGAGGCAGAAGAATCACTTGAACCCAAGAGGTGGAGGTTGCAGTGAGCTGAGGTCAAAGCACTGCACTCCAGCCTGGGTGACAGAGCAACACGCCATCTCAAAAAAAAAAAAAAAAAAAAAAAAGCCCTGATTAGGCTTAAGCAGCTAAGGCCCCATCCTACACAAATCTCAAGGCTGCCATATATTCGAGAGATGTGAATGGGTTCTTTGAAGCTGACAACCAGCAGCGTCTGCTAGATAACCCCACCATTGCAAGTCACTACCTAGACCAGGGCTCAGCAAACTTTTTCTGTAAAGGACTAAATAGTAGATAATTAGGCTTCACATGCTTCCTAAGAGTTCTTTTGTTGAATTTTGTTTTACATCCTTTAAAAATATAAAAACCGGCTGGGTGCAGTGGCTCACGCCTATCATCCCAGCACTTTGGAAGGCCGAGGCAGGTGGATCACGAGGACAGAAGTTTGAGACCAGCCTGGCTAAGATGGTGAAACCCCGTCCCTACTAAAAACTAAAAAAACAATTAGCCGGGTGTGGTGGCACACGCCTGTAGTCCCAGCTACTCAGGAGGCTGAGGCAGGAGAATTGTCTGAACCCAGGAGGCAGAGGTTGTGGTGAGCCGAGATTGCGCCATTGCTCTCCAGCCTGGGTAACAAGAGCCAAAACTCCGCCTCAAAAATAAATAAATAAATAAATAAATAAATAAAAATAAAAAATAAACACACACACACACACCATTTTTAACTCATGGGCCTTACACAAACAGGTCAAGGGCTAGATTTGACCCAAAGATGATAGTTTGCCAACCACTGATCTGGATCATTATGATACTTGTGATGTCTACGTTGACCTTGTTGACTTGCTTCCCCAGATTATAATAAAAGCTCTTTGAGACCAGGAACCAGGTCTGTCTTATCCACCACTGTCTTCTCCACACCTGAAACAGTACTGGCACTTTGGGAGGCCTACACAGGAGAATCACTTGAGCTCAGGAGGTCGACACCAGTCTGTGCAAAATAGCAAGACCTCATCTCTACAAAAAATATAAAAAATTAGTCAGATGTGGTAGTGTGTGCCCGCAGTCCAAGCTATTCAGGAGGCTGAGGTGGGAGGATCACTTGATCCTATGATTGAGGCTGCAGTGAGCCATGATCATGCCACCGAACTCTAGCATGGTTGACAGAGCAAGATCCTGTCTCAAGAAAAACAAAAACAAAAAAACAGTGTCAGGCAAATAGTAGATGTCCAATAAATATTCACTGGATGAATGATTATGAAAACTTTATTCCAGAGCATGTCAGGACCCAGTGTCTAGCTCTGACCTGGGTTTCTCTGTCCTATCTGTCTGTGGGACACAGCTGCCCCCATACTGACCTATGCAGGAACGGACAGGGCTGCTGCTGGTCCACACAGTGTCTTTGTGCAAATCAGAAAAAGGTCACTTCTGCCGGCTGCTGTAGCTCAGCAGCCAGGACCACGGTGAGCAGGTGAGGACTGAATCTCAGCCCCTGCCTCTTCCCCCTTGGAGGGCGTTCTTGGGTGGGACACCTTCCCAGTTGCGTGCCCTGGCTCAGGGATAGAGTGCTGAGTTGGAGTTCTAAGACCTCCCCTGCTTTTATTGTTCCCACACCTCTCTGAAAAATGTTGCTGCTAGCACTCTGCCTACAGTTTTTACCCTTTTCTCTCACCAACTCCCAATCCCTTCTCTTTCCAGTTCTTTTCAACACAATGACTGCGATTTGCATATATTGAACTGAAATTCTAGGTTTGTGCTTGGAGGCTCATCCAAGCAGACTAGAATGTGACATAAGGGAGACAAGCTTGGGCAGCATAACAAGACCTCATCTCTACTAAAAACATAAAAAATCGATCAGATGGAGGGGGATTGCGGTTGGAGAAAGATTTCTGTCCCGTGTGCTTACTATACTTGAAGAAAGACCATGGGAAACTCGAAAAAGCAGCAGCCAAAATTGTCAAGGAAATAGTGAAGTTGCCATAAAAATACAGAGTCACGTGTTAAGGGTTCTTCCATCTGGAAAGATAAAGGCTAAGAAGGAGGAACATCTGTTTAACCGTGGATGTTGTGGTTAGGGTGGTCTTGAACTCATTCACCAAATCCTGAAAGAGAACTGGGGAGAGGTGGGGGCTCTGCTTAAAGCTTGAGAGTTATGTTTAGCAATAATCAAATAAAATGTTCCTTCACTTCGTGGGCGGTAGGATCATGCAACTCATTATCCCAAGCAGGAGTCAAGCTGGAAATAAAGTCTTGGGGGACTTAGCCGTTGACAGACCCCTAATGACTTATAGAGGGGAACAGACCCCTAGTGACTTATGGAGGCCTTGGGGTATGGGCAATGCTCTTTGAAGTTGCTGACTAAGAGCATGACTGGTTGTCCACAGTGCGTCCCTGCATGCCCGTCTCAGAGACAGCGTTCTGAGCTGGGCAAGGCGAGGAGCCGAGGCTGCCACCCACAACCCCTATCAAAAAAACTTCCAGATCGCGAGGGGTTGTGGGTGGCAGCCTCGGCTCCTCGCCTTGCCCAGTTCAGAACTGGGGGATGGGGTGGAGGCCTCATACAAGAACCATTGACTTTCCCAACTCAGTTTTCCTTACGCCAGCTACCATCTATTGCTGGGAATTCGAGGGTCATCAAAACAATGAAATGGTGTTTGTGAACGTTTTGCCTAAATGTCTACACTATCCATAGGGACCTCGCCTGTTGTCATTATGAGAGCTGACATTTAATGATTATGATTACAAACTACGTGCTGTTATACATACTTATTTGATGTTGACGGCAGTCCTATAAGGTAGGTGCTATTATTTCAGCATCCTGTTTGATAAATGGGGAAACTGAGGCACAGAGAAGTAGCTCTTTCAGAGTCTAACAGGCAATAAATGATACAGAACTCAAATGAAGGCCGGAAGCCTCTGGAGTACATAATGAACTATCTCTCTGTTAGCCTGGGGTTACCGCCACTCCTATGGTGCTACAAGAGAGGACACCACTCTCCTCCAGCCATTCAGTTACGAGGAAGGAGTGCAGATCCATTGTGGCCATATCCGTTTTTTCAAGAAAAGCCATAAGGATCAACACTGGGCGGATGGAACAAATCTAGCTAAATGCAGACTGAGGTTGCCCCGCTCTGATGGTTGCTGTACTCACACCACCCTGCAGCGGCACATCTTACAGGCAGGGTGCTGTTGTCCATGTCCATGGGAAACATGAGTTACCAGATGTGGGCTCAGAAAAGCAGGGAGCCTGGCTGGACACACATGGTGCAAAGGCTGCCGCGCTGGGGTGCCTGTGTCTAGAAATTGGTCTCCTGCTTTCAGCAGTGCTTAGTGATCTCTCTGGGCCTCTAGCCGGTCCAGGATTCTACGATTGTCATTGTAGAGAACAACAGCAAAGGCTCAAAAGTGTGGAGAGATGTTTGATGTCTGGGAAGATAGGCTCTGTGGCATACAACTGGATTGTCCCAGCTGGTGCATAAGCCACACAAAATGTGCAGAACCCAAGGCTATACCTGTGATTTGGTGTGTGCTGAGAAACTGGCAGTGCAAGAGGCCTGTGACATCCCGTGGAGACTTCACTCCAGCTGTGCGCTGCACTTCAACCATGCAGGGAGGGCTGGGGGCTTTTTCTAGTTTGCACAAAGGCGCTATCTGTGAGCTAAGCTGCATATCACTGGTGTGCATCCACCCAGAGGAGGGACCTTCCAATTCACATCAAGTCTCCGTGCGTCCCCGGAGGCCCTGAAGCAGTTTGAGGTGCCTCTGACCTTCCCTCACACCCCCAGTGCTTTCTGTTTATATCTTCCCATCTTTTCTACTATTGAGAGTGCAGGTGGGATTTAGGGGACTCAGGAATGCCGGAATTCTGCCCTGGCTCTTCCACTCCTTCCTTCCTGTGGGGTTCCTGGGGATTGGCACGCACAGAGGATAAAGGCAAATGGTACAGAGCCTGACACTCCGCTCCAGGCAGGGCTCTGGGCTGCATGGCACAGCTGAGGCTCGGCACTCCAGGATCCAGAGGCCCTCCCTTCCCTGGCCATGCTGGGCCCGACCCACCTGTGCTTATGTCGGGAGGTGAGGGAAGCCAGAAGGACAGGCTTCAAGAGGACCTTGGTTCAGATCCTTGTTCTGTCCCCAGAGCTGGAGGAGCCAGTGAGAAGAGTAAGATCCACCCACCCCTGAGAACAGGACGTGGGAGGGAAGGTCACTCCTCGGCACAGACCTTATCACACAGGGTCCCCACCCCTTTTTACAGGTGGCTGAAGCACAGTCCCGGATCCTGACTGAAGCCAGTGGCGGCAGCTCCCTGGAGGGAAGCCAGCTGAGGTGTGGGCTTCTTCCCTGCTACGGGAACATGGTCTCGTTTCATCTTCACAGCTTCCCTATTTACAGATGGGGAAACTCAACTGCGTGCTAAACAGGGATGAGGAATTGGGTCAAGGTCACACAGCTAGGAAGCAGAGCTGGGCTTTGACACTGTGGCTGGCTCTGCAGCCACTGCCCAGGTTCCTCTTTGGGACAGGACTGATGACTGCTCACCACCAGTGTCTTCCCAGGAATAGCCCTGCCTGTAGGGGGCTGCCTGGCCCAAGGGTGGCTCCTTCCTTGTGGGGCAGCCCAAATTCAACTCAGCTCTGTAGGGGTGAGGTGTAGGGAGTAGAGTGCAAAAACCCAGCTCCTTACCTCCACTCAGGACAACTCTGAAGGGCTTTGTAACTCCTCATGGGACAGAGGCCGGGCTTTGGTGGCAAGTGCACCACATTTCACCTTCTCCCTCAGCCCAGCCCTGCTTTCCACCCGCTTACAGCCGCTGTGCTGAGCACACGCCCAGACCAACTCTGCAGGGGTCTTACCTATGCCATCTGCATTCCCATCCTTAGGAAATGCTGCCTCCCCTCCTTCCTAGGACCCTGGACAAATAAACCAAAAATCCAAAAAGTAGAGGGCGAGGCAACCCAAAGCTTAACAACAGCAGGAAGTCACTGCCACCCTGGGCTGGAGGGACAGAAGGAGGGATCTGGCTTCCTTGCACCCAGGGACCACCCAGCAAAGCCAACGCTGCGGTGGGTCTGTCAAGAGGGGAAATGCAGCCCATGACGGAAACAGTCCTGAAGTTGGGGGTCCAAAGTGACACCCCAGCTTCTCCTTCCCTTTCGGCTAGACGTTTCTGATGATAGACTACCTAACAACACAAGGTGTTCATACCAAGGTTTTAATAAGCCATATGTGGGTAATATTAAAGATTTTGTCAGCTTGGGGTCTACAATAGCTTTTTCTTTTGAAAGGGAAATGTTGCTGTCGGATGATCTATCAGAGGTGCGTCCCAAAGCACCGTCCACTCCAGTGCAGCCACCACAGCCTGAAAGTCAGATTCCTTCGGGATTGGGGATGGGGAGCTGAAAACAGCCCTTAGGGCCAGAGGATGTTGGCACACAGGAAGAGGTCCTAGAAGTTTCCTTGTTCACTCTCCTCACTTTACTGAGGGGAAACCCCAGACCCAGAGAGCTCCGAGCTTGGACACCCCTTTTATGGAGGGTGAACTGTGGAATTTTGGGGAACCATCACTACTGGGGAATGGAGTCACCCAGGGCTTTTAGATCTCAGCCTAGATGAGGGCTTGTGTGTGCATGTGTGTGTTTGGTATGTATATGTGCATGATACATGGGTACATGCATGTGACACATGTGCATATGTGTATGGCATGTGTGCCTATGGGTGTGCATGTATGTACATGTAGAGTGTGCATGTATGTGTGTGGGTGTGTGTACATGTGTGTGCATGTGTGTGGATGTGTGCCTGTGTGCAGTCTCCACCCTGAAAGTTTATATTTTTTGAATTTCTTTCTTTTTTTTTTTTGAGACAGAGTCTTACTCTGTCGCCCAGGCTGGACTGGAGTGCAGTGGCATGATATCAGCTCACTGCAACCTCCACCTCCTGGGTTCAAGCCATTCTCCTGCCTCAGCCTCCCAAGTAGCTGGGATTACAGGTGCGTGCCACCACACTGGGCTAATTTTTTATATTTTTGGTAGAGATGGGGTTTTACCATGTTGGCCAGGCTGGTCTCGAACTCCTGACCTCAAGTGTTCCACCCACCTCGGCCTCTGTCCCAAAGTCCTGGGATTACAGGCTGAGATACACCTGGCCCCATCTTTTGAATTTTGAGTGGCTGCTGGTATTGATGATAGAATGTGAATACACTTGATTTGTATTCATATGGAGGGGAAAGTGCCTCTGACCTGTCCCCATGGAAGGGAAATAAGATTGGCCTGGAGATACTTACCTGGTGGCGGAGATATCATGATCACAAAAATGCCTTTCCCAGGGCAAGGCTTGTCCACTGCACTCTAGATGGGCTGACCCTTGTAATTTCCCCAAATGTGGGAACTTGACAGCATAATTTGTGGTAGCAGGGGACTATGTTTGTGCTTTCCCCTAGTAATGAAGGAAAAGAAAAAAGAGACTGCCCTGGAGATATGAGGACAGAAGCCCAACCCAGTCCCTGGCTCCAGTGAGTCCAGGCCCAGCCCTGGAGACGGCCCTTATCAGCTGCCATCCCAGCTTCCTGTTTTTCAGTGGGCTGGGCACCCACGCTGAAGGAACATCTGCTTCTGTTTATTCTTCCCCTTTATCTTAATGGGTTCCCCACGATGGCTCCCTGGGACACCTCTCACCACTGCTCTGAGTACTCAGGTAGGTACTGCTCCCTGCCCCGCCTACGACCCAGGGACGGAAGGAGGAAGGCTGGACAGGCCAGAGACTTGGTGCCCTGGGATTAAGGCTAGTTACTAAACAGGTCTGGGGCTTAAAACTGGACCCTAAAGTCAATGTGGAGAAGGGAAAAAAGAATAAAAGGCAAAAGACTCTCCTAAGAGTGAAAGCAGGAACCAGGCAGGTTGCTGGGGATAACCTTAGCCGCTAAGAGAAATATAATTGCTTTTCATTTTCTGTTACACCTAGGCTAATAACCACAACTGGAAATTCTTGTTAGGAGGAGGAAGTTTTCTCTCATTAAGAGATAATAGAAATTCATTCACCCTTGAACCTAGAACAGTCAACTTCATACCGAAAGAACTTGACTCAGCTAGGGCCTCGGCCAGCCAGCAGTGCTCATCTGCACTTCTGTGTGGATTAGAAAAAGGGGCTCCTTTGTCCACACAGTCACAGCCTCCAACTTGGCAAATGTCCCCCATCCCTATCCCGTTCCCTAGCACCCTATGACAAAGACAACCTGGCATAGTTACATAATCATAGCAGCTTTCTCTCCTTCCCTGCTAACACTTTCATTACCCTAGACAGCTTAAGCTCTCAAGGGACCATCCCAGAAGCACAGAAAAGACTTGTAGATGAGAAGCTGGAAGGGCTTTTAACATTCTCTTGGTCCAAAGTCCCTGCTTCAATTCACTTCATGATAAGGCTTCTGGTTGAGTTGTAAGAAAGCTATTCTGGGCTGATCAAGATCATTCTAAACTATGATTACTGACAATTTCGAATTAATGAGAAAGGAAAGAGTGAGACTGTCTCAGAAACAAAAACAAAAAAAGTCAGTCGCTGTGGCTCCCTCACCTGTAATCCTAGCACTTTGGGAGGTTGAGGCGGGCTGATCACCTGAGGTCAGGAGTTCAAGAACAACCTGGCTAACATGGCGAAGCCTTGTCTCTACTAAAAATACAAAAATTAGCTGGGAGTGGTGGTACATGCCTATAATCCTAGCTACGCAGGAGGCTGAGGCAGGAGAACCGCTTGAACACAGGATGCTGGAGGTTACAGTGAGCCGAGATCTTGCCACTCCACTCCAGCCTGGGCAACAGAGCAAGACTCTGTCTCAAAAAAAAAAAGAATTCATGAGAAAGTTTCCACATTTTACTCAAGGATTTCTTTCCCTGAATTTTGCTTAATACCTATTATCTTAAAGCATGATTTTTGTTTTTAAAAATGTAGATATTATCAGCCGGGCTCTGTGGCTCACACCTGTAATTTCAGCACTTGGGGAGGCCGAGGCAGGTGGATCATGAGGTCAGGAGATCGAGGCCATCCTGGCCAACATGCTGAAACCCTGTCTGTACTAAAAATACAAAAAATTAGCCCAGTGTGGTGGCATATGTCTGTAGTCTCAGCTACTCGGGAGGCTGAGGAGGAGAATCACTTGAACTCAGGAGACAGAGGTTGCAGTGAGCCAAGATTGCACCACTGCATTCCAGCCTCAGGGACAGAGTAAGACTCCATCTCAAAAAAAAAAAAAAAAGTAGATACTATCAAGTTCAGTGCTGTTTAAGGAGTTTTCTTCTTTTGTAACCAAATTGTCAATAGATTATGGTGGTTCCAAGCTTGAGCTCCGGCATCAGAATGAGTAGAGTTCCAACTGCTAGCTCCTACTCTTGCCAGCTGAGAGGACCTGGGCAGTTTACTTAACTTCCCCACGCCCTGATTTCCTCATCTGTAAAATAGGGATAAGTAACATTATCTACTGTAAATAATTAACACGTGAATTAAATGAGGATGTATGAAAATGTGTGGCCCAGTGCCCCACACTTAATAAACATTAGCTACTATTAAGCTAATTTTAAATGGGTAAAGAATGTGATACCAGTATTCTTTTTTTTTTTTTTTTTTTTTTTGAGACAGAGTCTTGCTCCGTCACCCCAGGCTGGAATGCAGTGTGCTATTGCAGCTCACACAACCTCCACATCCCGGGTTCAAGTGATTCTCAAGCCTCAGTCTCCCGATTGGCTGGGACTACAGGCACCACCTCGCCTGGATAATTTTTGTGTTTCTTTTAGTAGCAATGGGATTTCATCATATTGGCCAGGCTGGTGGAATGTGATACCATTATTCTAGGTCATTGAGAGGATGACCATGTCTTCTGCCCCTTGGAGAAATGGTGGGTCCCCAGTCTGGGGCAGGGAAAGTGAGCCTGGGACATGAAATTGTGCCAGAAGACAAAGAAGTGTCCAAGACAGCAACCAGCTTAAAGGCAATTTTACTGGCCAAATTTGGGTCCATCTGAACATCAAAATAAATAGTCACTATAGTTGATAACACAATTTTTTAAAACCTCTAGTAATATTCAAAATGAGGACTAAAGGAAGGGAAATACCAGCTAATAAAACTGAAAGGAACAATAGAATTGGAAATCACTATTTGGCAACCTCCAATAAAATAAAGATTATTGATGAAACCCCTGGACAAAAGATTATTGAAGAGCAAGATATTCACATTGGGATGAAGTATTACCTGCAGATAACTTGCAAGTTACCAAGGGGAAAATTTCCTTTTACAATGGAGAGAGCTGGTGGTCACCACCTTATCCAAGTGATCAAACTCGGCCAGGCACAGTGGCTCATCGCTGTGATCCCACCACTTTGGGAGACTGAGGCAGGAGGGTTGCTTGAGGCCAGGAGTTCGAGGCCAGCCTTGGCAACATAGTGAGACTCTGTCTCTACCAAAAAATAAAAAACTAGCCAGGCCTGAGTGGCACTTATCTGCGGTCCCAGCTACTAGGGAGGTTGAGGTGGGAGGATTGCTGGAGCCCAGGAGTTCAAGGCTGCCATGAGCTATGATCATGCCACTGCACTCCATCTAGGCAACAGAGAAAGACCCTGTCTCCAAAAATGAAGATAAAAACAACAACAACTAAGCATTGCTAATAGTGCAGCTATTATGCACTTACGCGCCTTCTCATGTGATGTAATCTGAAATACTCAATACTACCACTTATGAATTGTTCCTGCCATATGTGATACACATGAATCTAATCAAGCCTCATGACTTAGTGATGACAGAGGAACAAGTTAAATCACACCAAAAGGAACTGAAAAGACAAATGCACAGTGTGGAATGTACTATAAGACAACTAACCTGTGACAAAGCTCTCTCCCTGACCATGCTTTAGTCAGGCTCCTCCGAGCCCTCTTTTCAACCAGGCCTAGACATTGGCCCCATCTTATCTTTGGTCTGCTCAGTCAGTCTTAGCAAAGAATCCTGCCAAGTCATCCCTGCACCCATTGTATCTGATCAAGTACCTCACCCTGTTCCCTGGAGGTCTAAGCCCTTAGCTTGTCTTAGCAAGAATTACCTAGGCTTGATGTCTCCCATTAGTCATTTCCTGTCCACTGACCCCTCCTCCTGCTCTCTGGCTGAAAGTCCCCACTTGTCCTTGTACTTGGGGTTGAGCCAGATTGCACTCCCCTATCCCAACACCCTATTGCAGTAGTCTTGAATAAAGCCTTTCTGTTTGAGAATAAGTTTTTCTTTAAAACCTGGACACAACAAGAAGTCATTTTTTAAAATGACTTATTTTAGAATAAAAGTAATTAGAGAGACATAATAATCAAATGCATGTAAGATACATTGATTGGATTCTGGACCAAAAAAGGAAAAAAATCTATAAAAGATATTTTGAGGGGACGGGCATGGTGGCTCACGCCTGTAATCCCAGCACTTTGGGATCACAAGGTCAGGACTTCAAGACCAGCCTGGCCAACATGGTAAAACCCCATCTCTTCTAAAAGTGCAAAAATTAGCCCAGTGTGGTGGTATGTGCCTTTAATCCCACCTACTCAGGAGGCTGAGGCAAGAGAATCGCTTGAACCTGGGAGGTAGAGGTTGCAGTGAGCTGAGATCACACCATTCCCTCTAGCCTGGGTGACAGAATGAGACTCCATCTCAAAAAAAAAAAAAAAAAAAAGATATTTTGAGAACAATTGGATATATTTAATTATGGATTGGATATCATAAAGTTATTGTTTCTTAAGTGTACTGATGATATTGGTTATGGGGAGAATACCCCAAGTCGCACTAAATGCCCATCTGTTTTCAGGGGCTGTGTTAGTTTCCTAAGGCTGTGGTAATGAATTGTCACAAGCGGTAGTTTGCAACACTGAAATTACTTCTCTCACAGTTCAAGTCCAAAATCAAGGTATCGGTGGGGCCATGCTCTGTGTGAAGGCTCTGGAGAGAGTCTTACTTCCTCTTCCAGCTTCTGGTAGTTACTGGCAATCCCTGGCCTTCCTTGGTTTGTGACAACATAAACTTCTATCTCTGTCTCCACAGTCAGGTAGCCTTCTTCCCTGTGTGTCTCTTGGGCTCTTCAAATCTCTCTGTCCCTTATAAGGACAGCAGGTGTTGGATGTAGGACCTGCTCTAATGCAGTATGACTTCATCTTGAGTACCTCTGCAAAGACCCCCCGTACCAATAAGGTCACATTCAAGGTACCAGGGGCTAGAACGTCAACGTTTCTTTTATTTGGGACACAGTGTAACCCACAACATGAATGATGTGTCATGATGTCTGGAATGTACCTTCAAAGGTCTTAATAAGAAATTCTGTAGATGCAAAGAAGGAGGAGATAAGGAGACAGGGGAAAAAAAACTCAATGTAGTAAAACGTTAACTGTGGAATCTTTTGGAAGGTATAAGGGTGGCTATTGTATTCTTTC